TGACGCCAGCTCACCAGTGTGCCCCACAGTTTTTTGTGTGCTTCCCTAGGCAGAAACATTTTGGTTTTTTCTCTGCTGCAAGTGATGTCTTATGAGTTACAGTCCCACTTCTCTAAGAAAATTTCTCTGTGATATTTTGTACCTGTTATTTTTTTTGTAAACTATCAAACTTTTTATGCCACCCGTTGAGGATCTAGTAAAACACGACCATTGGGCAATGCTTTATGTTTTGAATGAAATCAAAATTAGTGGATCCCTCATCATCAACATCTACTCTGCCTTCAGTTTTGCTGTAAAAACTTTCCTCCTCGGGTTTCAGTTTTGTTGAGATTTCTTGGTCAATGTTTCCATCATGGTGCAATGTTGATGTCAAATCAGTATCAGTTCGTTTTTCTTTGCCATATGCGAGTCCAATGTTATATCTTTCTGAAGTCCAAGATTGTGCTGTGCAATTCTCTGTTTTGAAACTGCAATATTTTGTGTATCACTAATTGCACGGTTCACTTTTGATCTCCTCCCAAACTTGCAAATCTGGTTTTTCATGTACTGGTGTACTGAACTGGGCAAATTTTACCAGAAAAATCAAAAAACTTTTTTCATAAGAAGACCCTAAATACACAGAAATTGAACAAGGAGCATTTCATGGGTAAAACTCAGCTGTTGCTGCTTTGGAGCTTTGGTGAAGGCCCAGCTGGGTTCCTGTTGGCCTCAGGCCCAGCCGCTGTGAGCCACGCCCACTCTCCATTATGGGCTGGTGGTAGATGTTTAGTAAGAGATGACCGGTGTGGGTGTATTTTACCCCCTGTGATGCTCCAGTAAACATATGCAAAAAATGTTACACGGAGCACTGTGTGGCTAAATATCTTGGTTCAGCTTTTGAACAGGAGCACACAGCTTGCCATTTGTTGTACCAAGTGGGTAAACACGAAGATTGCTTCCTGTGTCCTCCAGGTGCAGCTACTGAGATGCACAGCAGGTGACGGTAATGCTAAAGTACGAATTTTCATTAGGAAAGTATGGCATGTGTTCATGTAACCCAGCACTGTGCCCCAAGTTAAATGCAGGCTGGCCGTAATATTGGGCTCAGTAATAAGTTACATCGATTATGTCTTGCTGAGAACATGCTGCCACAAAACTGATCTATGTAGCAACATGTGGCATTAAGTGGGACATTCTATTTTTTTTATAAAGGTCGAATGCAGTTTGGATACTTTACTCTAGCTGGGACTGAAACAACTGAACTTAAGCCCTGGGCAGAACAAAAGTCTCAGCAGCTAGAGATCCCCCACGTGCGGTTCCAGGGCAACATCGAGTTTTTGAAGTGGTGCAGATCACCAGCCTCCAGGCGGCTTGCACCTCACCCACCAAGGCTGGAGTCAGCAGCGCCAGAGAGAAGAATTCCACTTTCCTTCAGAAAGACTGCGTGGTGTCTGAATTAGTGGATGGGACGAGCTACGTAATTGATGGGGCTCGATGCAAGATGAAAATACGGGGTCCTTTATTAAAAATGGTTAAGAATTCCAAAACAATGACCCCAAAGTGTCACATGTAGCTAGGGAGAGACAGTGAGATCTCCAATTATAGACACAGTGAAATCAAATTTATGTGGAGGAGGGAGGTATATGTTGTTCACTCCACACTGGAATTTATAATGCCCTTGTTGGTAAACTACGCTTATGCTATGCATGTTTCTTAGTAGATAATTCTGTGTGACTTTGACAGCTCTGTCATATTTCCATCAGCACCGTTTCTCCCCAGGCAAAGGTAAACGACGTATGGATGCTCCCTTGGTTCTGCGGGCTTCCTTCCCTCTACATTGTGTCTAGAGTCTGAGTCTTTTGGGCCTTGATCCAATGAGCTTTGGACTAATCAGTGCTTCCAACCTTTCTAAACTATGACCTTTCAGTTGTGTTCTGAAGATTCGTTCAAAGCACTAATCAAAAAAATAATAATAATTTCTGTGGTTGGCAATCAGCCTTTCGGTGGGATGGATTTCCTGCTATATGGTGACTAAAATCCTGGAGTTCATCGCTAAGGACATGATAACGAGTTCTTTGTCTCTATTAACAATTAATTAAATACTCGCAGAGTAAATATTTGGATCTCACTTTGCTTAAGCTGACGTGGAAAAGACCCAGGAGATGGTGCCGCAGTAAACAACCCTGAGTTTAAAGCTCGGCTTCGTTACTTCATGAGTCACCGCGTCTCAGGCTTGTTTCCTGTTTTGTAAAAAGGGGAGAGTTGTGAGAGTGCAGGATGTTTTCATTCTCCTCGTGGTGAGCTGGACCAGCTTCCTGTGCTCAGGAAAGTCGTCGCTAAAGTATCATAAACTGTTATCACTGATCGCTAACACAGTCTTATCAAACAGTACACCATATGCACTTGTAATGAAAGATACTTTATTTTTTTTCAAATCCATTTTATTCAAGGATAAAAAGAAAGAAATTAGGAGGAGGAGAAGAAGAAAAACTACAACAAAATTTCAAAACAAGTCAATCAGGAAGCAACAATGGCCCATACATTGTGCATTGTCATCCCCAAATCAGTCACCCAGAGCACAAGACATCTGCGTTCAATTGTCCGAACAATACCAGGACAATCTTTCTCTTCAGTGAACTCAGAGAAATCAGTATAACTATCCTAATTATTTTTATATACATATACATACACATATACATATGTTTTTCTTTCAGCTTGTCACACTAATGAAACAATACGATGCTTACACTAATGAGTGTGTTCTTAAGTTGCATCCATTTACCTATAAAAGTGTCCAGTTTAACCTTCTTTATGTCTGAGTAGTACTCCATTGTAAAAAATACATTTTTTTTCCATCCTCAGTAGATGGGCATTTAGGTTGTTTCCAAGATCTGTGCTGCTATAAACATGATGCACATATATCACTGTGGTCTGATGTTTTTAATTCTTTTGGGAAGATACTGAAAAGAAAGATACTTTACAAAGATCAAATACTTCAAATTCACCATATCCCAATTAGTTCACCATCCTTACAACGCTCTTTGCTGCCATGAGTATCTTCATTTATCGGATCTGTATGGTGGAAGTACCAGGACTGGTGTGCTGTGATGCTTCTCTTTTTAGCTCTATGTTTGGTAGCATTATGGTAGTAATTGAAAATTGGCCAAAATGAGAGTATTTATACTCAACAAATGAGTTGAGCAAAATCTACAGATCAAGACCTGGTTCGTCCCGTTTTTGGTTGTCTAAGGCAAGTTTCTAAACCCCAGTGATGTGTACATCTGGGCCTGGTTGATTCTTCACTTTGGCTTTAAAAATTTTTTGTACCTACAATGGAACTCAGGACCCTGCCCTTTCCAGGCGGGTGCTGTGCCCCTGAGCTACATCCCCGGCCTGTTCCTTTGCTTTGGAGGAGTGAGCCTGGTAGCCTACCTGGTCTCTACCTACTAGGCGATGTCACCCAACTTGTGACAGTCCCAATTGTCTCTGTATATTGCCAAAGGTCCCCTGGGGGCTGTAATCCCCCCTTTTCCCCTTTGAGGGTCACTGTTCTAACAGGCTGACACATGAGGACCAGCAGACAGGACTCAGCCTGTGGAGGGCCACGCAGCCCTCGAGCTCAGAGAAGGAGGTCAGACACTTTGAAGGGATTATGAAGATGGCAGAGGCCATGCCTGGGCTGTAAAGCCTAAAATACTCACTTTCTGACCCACATTAGAACAAATTGAATGATCTCGGGTCTGAACAATCCGGTCACTGCAGATTAAAAAGAAGTGTGTTGTGCTTGTAGCTATTGCACTGTGAGGCCCAGAGAGAGAGAGAGAGAGAGAGAGAGAGAGAGAGAGAGAGAGAGAGAGAGAGCTTCTAGCGCTCAAAACTTCTTGAAGAAGCTGTGTATATTGTCAATAAACTGACGCCATCATCCACAGTCACAGTGCTGGAACCGAAAGAGGACTTGGCTTAACAGTGAGAGGAAGCCTCAGAGGACGTCTCAAGACAGCAACAAAACAGACGAAAGAATGAGCTTCCCAATCATTGCTCACCTAGGAAGGTAACAGTAACAGCCAGCTCTTACCGACTGAGCGGATGCTGTGCGCCCGGACCTTCGTAAACACTTTTTCTGCTTCTGAAATCAGTCGCACCACAGCCCACGAAGTAGTCCCTCTGGGCCTACCCATTCTATAGATGAGGAAACCGAGACCAAGTCTCTCCAGGTCATGAATTAGCAATGGTCACCTAACCAGCCACGTGTTCCACTCTGCTGTGCAGTCTGGAAAATGGAAAGAGGAGAGGAGGGGAGAAAATAATGGGCCAAATCCTGTTCTTCAGAAGGGAGCCGCGGTGGACCCCGGGCAGCAGAGAAGCGAGGTCACTCGGAGCAGGAGGCACAGTGAGGCAGACACAGCGCAGAGCTCTTGGCCCTCGGTGTGCGAGGCTGGGGAGAGGGAGGAATCGAGGGGTTCATCGTTTCTGGGAGCTGTGAAGAGATACTGGGGAGGGAGGCCGGGGAGATGGCAGAAATCCGGGTGCCCCGGAGCCTTCAGAACAGCAGAGGAGGAGTGATTTAAAAGGCGGGCTGAAGAAGGAACATGCCCGAAATACCAGCACTCTGGGAGACTGAGGCAGGAGGATGGCAAATTTGATACCAGACCAGGCAACTTACTGACTTAGCAAGCTTCTATCTCAAAATAGAAAAAGTAAGTAATAAAAGTTGAGGTACAGCTCAGTGTGAAAGCCCTGGGGTCAGACTTCAGCGTCGTGCACACACATGCGTGCACACGCGCTCACCCAACTGCTGCTCAGCAGGGCTCCGTACTGGCCCTGCCCCGGGATGCTGTGAGTTTGTCCTGCGGAGCTGGAGGCTCTCCCGAGCTTCCTCTCCATGTTTACTTCACTTAGCAGGGAAGGATCGTTAATGGCTAATCTGTGTCCACAGGGCACCGAGCCAAGGCAGAGATGCTGGGCCAGGGCTGCAAGGCCGCCTCTGACCCTCCTTGGCGGCGGCGTGGGACTCTCTCCCCCTCCTCCTGCTCCTCCTCCTCCTCACCGCGTGGTCCCCTCAACTCACCCCAAGGAAAAATCAAATCCGGAGCATTTGTGCCAAAGTTACTGGGATGTGAAGGAGGGCGCCGTGCTCAGTGTCCCGGGCGTTCGGCTCTGACCTGCAGCGATCCAGGTAAGTACCTGGCTCGGAGGGGGAGTGTGTCACTAAAGGTGAGAGGACGGCGGGAAAGGCTTCTCTTTGACATCTGTCATTCGGTCAAGGAATGGATTCTAAGTAAGTGGAATTGGATGTGCAGTTCTGACCACCAGGAAGAGAGGAAGAGAGGGAGAGAGGGAGGGAGAGAGAGAGAGAGAGAGAGAGAGAGACAGAGAGAGACACACAGAGAGAGATACACAGAGAGAGACACAGAGATAGAGACACAGAGAGACAGAGAGACACACAGAGAGACAGAGAGAGAAACAGAGAAATAGAGATGACAGAGAGACACAGAGAGAGATAGAGCGAGAGAGAGACACAGAGAGAGAGACAGAGATAGAGGCAAAGAGACACAGAGAGACAGAGAGAGACAGAGAGAAAGAGAGAGAGAGCAACCCTAAAAGACTAAAGGAAGCAGGAGTCAGAGTAGCAACCTTTCAGTGATTTAAGCATAACGTTTGAGGCCGAGGTCCCCCAGAGCCGGGAAGCTTGAGGAAAGCCTCTCTTCTGGCTCTCCAGGCAACTTGCCGAGCGGTGCTATCTTCTTGTGATTTGTGGCACTTCAGTGCCGAGTCTGGGAACACTGCTCACCGCAGCTGAGCAGGGACACAGGCACAGGACACTGAAGCTGTCTGTCCTTCACTGACATAAGAATTTTCCCAGAGGAAAACCCGATTTCAAGCATGTCCTCTTGATTTCGGCCGTAAGTTTTTCTCCGTGTTCCATCTCTGACACTGACATTAGGTGGAAACAGATGTGAACATTGAAGGGAGCGCTCTGCTATTGACACTGTCCAAGACTGAGTCTAGAGGCAGAGCATCGGGTGCAGTCCTTAGGCAGCGGGGGGCCCGGAGCCTTCCTCTTCATGAGCCTTTATTTAGAAAGGAGGGCGGAAGGGCGGGGGTCACAAGCCACTCACCTTGGATCTTGTATCCGAACAACTTACATCTGAGTTCTGGAGAAATCCGGGTGCTGGCTCTGGCACTATCTTGAACCCCTTCAGGGGTACTGATGTTGTGTACGACTCTTAAAATAACTCTGATAAATGAGAGCTGATAGAATGGTTTATGTCCTAGATTGTGTCGATGGTTTTGCAGCTTATTGTATGTCAATTGTACCTCAATAAAGTGCTGTGTGGTGTGTATGTGTTTGTGTGAGCATGCACGCACACGCATGTGTGCACACACTTGGGCCCTTGAAAGAGGGAGGGCTGGGAGAGATACTTGGGAGGCCTTCCTTGTGTTTCTGGTTGTGATTCTATCAAATGATAAGTACTTTGCTCTTTGAGTCATTTCCGCTCAGCCTCCCAATCCTCCAAGCGGGACCGGGCCGTTTGCCCCCGGACTTTTCTGTTTTGCTGAGAATGTCGCAATATATGATTGATCTAACACCTAGTTCATAGCTAAAGTGGTGGACAGGGACAGGACTGTGCTCTTGTCCCGAGCCCCTTTCTCTGGATTTGTAGCTCTGTGGAAACCATCCTTGGAGATGGAGGGGGGAGTGATGTCCCTGACTTCCCTTGATTTCCACACCTCCAGGGCCAGGGCAGGCTGTAACGAAACAAGGCTGAGACCCCAGCTCTCTGTAAGGAAAGGGATGTGTGTGAGCACACACGTGTGTGTTCTACTAACCACCCCAGCCTTTCCCTAAAAGCCCGTGTCCTCACAGCCACACTTGTAGAAGGTTTGCTTGCACTCCTACTATGGATGGGGAAACTGAGGCTGGAGGAGCACGGGTAACCTGGCCACGGGCAGACAGCTGGGAAGCAGCAGGACCTGAACTGACCCGGATGCCAGAGCCTCTTTCGTGCTCCCCGTGATATTTTATTCCCCCCGATATTGTTGGAGGCTGGGAAAACTTGGGGAAGCAGGTGGACCAGCGGGCTGAGGTCTCGGCTCGATGGGAACGAATGTGAAGATCCCCAAAACCTCCTCTGCAGGGATTTTCCAACTACACCACCGGCAGGGGAAGTGGAAAGTTTACAGCATTGTTTGTCTGAACTCGGAGGCCAGGGCAGAAGTGCAGACTGGACACTTCGGTCACCAGCATCTTCCCTGTGACTGGGAGGAACCTGCGGCCCAGGCGCTGTGATGTGGGGCTCGGAACTGTGATCCACAGAGCCGCTGCGGGTCAGGGCTGCCGACAGTGCAGAGCCCGATGCTGTAGCTTCCCCAAGGCTTGGGTTACCTTTAGGTGGGTGCATAAGGGACAGAAAGGAGGTTCAAGGGGAAAGAGAGTGTTGTTTTTCCTTTAAAAATCTAACACTGAACCAAGGATTTAGCTCAGCGGCATAAGCGCCTGCCTGGCAAGTGCGAGGTCGTGAGTTCGACCTTAGACTTTAAAAAGAGGCTGAACGAAAGGAACCAGTTTCCCCCAGGGTTTTCTTAGGGCAGATGCCTTGTACATTCCGAGCACAGGATCTACCGCTGAGCTACACGCCCAGCCTCTCCCCGCCTTCCCTCCTTCTTTTCTGTGCTCCTGGGCATGTAACCCAGAGCCTTCACACTGAGCTGTGTCTCCAGCCCTTCATATAAAATTGTTTAACACTCTGAGACATTCTAAACCCTTAATTCCCAGGCCTTTAGCCTCCCAGAGGGCTGGAATTACAGGTGAGCACTCCAAGGCCTCAGTGGAGATGGAGCTGGAAGGCGTCACTACGTGCGTGTGCAGCGTCCCAGGCTGCAGGGCGGCAGAGCCATCAGCACACACAGACTCCTCGCTCCTCCCGCCTCTGCGCCCCTCATGCACCTCTGGGTGCCCCGGCCCAGCTCGCCACTGTGGGTCATTCCCTCGCTTAGTGTCCTCCTTTCTGATTTTACCAGAGAGTTGTCTGTTATTCTTTCACGCTCCTTTCGTAAATTTGTGTCAGTACAACACACATATAGTGAGCCTGGGTTGCAAACTAAAATTGCAAATACTGCACAGGAAAATAAAATAATAATAATAATAATAATATGGTTTATTATTTGTTAGCCCCAAGAAATGTAGCTGAGCTCTCATGAGTAAAATTAATACGCACAAACATAAATTTTGTTAATATTCATTTTTCAAAATGAAATCCTAACATTACTTTCGACCCCCCCCTCACCCCGTTTTAAATAAATTGAAATTTTTCTTTCCTGGTCTCAACAGGCCTGGCGTAAACGTTGATCTCTTACACTTTAATCAAGGTCGTTAATCCAGGGAAACGAGAATCAGCCTGGCTTTGCGTTTCCAAGTCCCCCAGGTGTATCTTACGTGGTGTCTGGAAGACGTGGCAGATGGCTTCCCTGCCCACAGGGAGTGACACGCGTGGCTTGGGTGCTGCTGATCAGAGGGAACCCCACTGCAGGGCAAAGATGATATCTGAAGAGCGGACAGCTACCCGCTGCCGTCTCGAGACAGCTGCAGGGGCTCAAGGTGTAGCAGCCAAGTCCTCACAGCAAAAGCCCATTGCATTGGGGGGGGGGTGGCCTGGCAAAGATATGGGTGTGGGGGTGCTCCCAGCTCACCTGGAACCCACGCCATGTCTGGTGCGAGTTCATGTTCTCTGAAATCAGAGAGTGAACTGTAGGAACAGTGAAGGTTAAGAGCAGAATGTATTTACTGAGAGAGAGAGAGAGAGAGAGAGAGAGAGAGAGAGAGAGACAGACAGACAGACAGACAGACAGGTCCTGAGTGGTTGCCCTCACCTGGAATCCAAACTCTGGAGCTGTGGCTATATATGAGGGACTTGGGGAGCGGCGGGGGTCCTTTGAGGCTATACTTAAAGTCTATGCACCCTGACGGAGGATTTTTAGGGCAGAGAGACTGTTCTGTATGGACCTGCAGTGGTGGACGCCTGTCATGAGGCATCGTCAGTGCCCAGTGTAACACCAAGTGGACACTGCGTGGTCTCCACTGCTAACAATGTACCGGTGTGGGTCATGGACTGTAAAACACATAACCCCGTCAGGGATCTTGACAGCAGGGCAGGGATCCATGGCTGTGCAGAGGTTACGCATACTTGTGACCTTTGTGTTCAAGTTTTCCGTCACCCTGAATTGTTCCCTCCCCTCAAAAAAGTTCATTAATTTCTCAAAATCCTCAATTCCTAGTAACAACCCCCCAAAAAAGTAATTTCTCAAAATATGTGCATTTTCTATGTTTTTTTCCCCACAGTGAAGTTTATAATTTTCGTTGAAGTACAAAAATACTGCACAATCCTAAGAAGGTTTTTTTCACTTTTAGTTTTTAATGTGTTGATTTGTGTGTGCGCTGCTGGGGTTTGAACCCAGAGCCACGCGCTCAGCCACACAGGGCACTGTGGCCCCTAAAACTGCTTTTAAAGGAAAACTTTCTTTCCTGGAGCACTCAGATATGCTGATGTACAGCATTCAAATGTCCAACTGACCAAATGAAGACAGAGCGGGATGGCTTATGGGGGAACTGCTGGACCTTAGTGCGTTCCACTTACAAATGCTGCATTTCGTGCGTAAATCCAGAGTCGCTCCTCGCCTTGTGCTAACCTCCTTCTCCTCCACCTCCCACTTCAGTAGGAAGCTCTGATGTCCTACACTAACTAGGTGAAGCCCAGCGTGTTCACCCTTTCTGCTGCGGGCGGTCACGTAGGTGTTTCTGCCTTTTCCCTGTTAGAAGCCACCGCAGTGAGCATCCTCACACCCGGGGCGAGCTTCCTCCAGGAAGGACACCTGTTTGCTCCGAAAAGGCTGAAAACTACGCCTCCGCTATCCATGCAGGAGGATGTGTATTTCCCTGCTCTCCCTCCAACTTTGTTGTTTTGTTGTTTGTCTTTCTGAGACAAAGTCTCACTACATAGTTCACGCTGGCCTTGAACTCACTTTGTAGCCCAGACTGGCCTTGAACTCACAAAGACCCTCCTGCCTCGGCCTCCCGAGGGCCGGGATTACAGGTGTGCACCATCACGCCTGGCTCTTTCTCCAACTTTGAAAGTTACCTTCTTTTACTTTTTATTTCTTTAGTACATGTTGCAGTAG